TTTAGTCCACTTCTGTATCCTTCCGTCAAGGCTCAGGGGTCCAAGATTATCTTCTGTGTCTGTGTTAATTGGTTTCCCTTTTCTTTGTTGAAGAGGATCTGTGCAGTCCTTCTGCCTAGTCCGCCATCTTGCCGGAACCGACTTCTAAACTATTCTTAACAAATATTTAGTGACTATCTTTTCTAAGCTGGGAATTGTAGGGAAAATAAAAATGTCTAAGATACCCCACCACCACCATATGTTTCTCTAGTTAAAAGTACATAAATTATATTCTCATATGCATACTTTAATGAGGCAGTAAATATCATGAGTGGTATAGGTGAATGGATTCTAAGCCTGACTGATAACAGTTTAACATTTAAAAGACTAGTTCCAACCCTAAAGATTGTGATTAGTAATGGTGAACTGAATCTTGAAGAATCCGTGTGGTTTTTCATTTTTATTTATTTATTTTAATTATACAGTTTTTAAAAATGTGATTTGGGTGAAAGTTTATAAAGCAAATTGGTTTTCCGTTCAACAGTTCATACACATTTTGTTTTGTAACATTTATTGCAATCCCCACTATGTAACAGGTGTCTTCCTATGTCCTCCCTGTGTTTACCATTTCCCTTCATCCCTCTATCCCTTCCTTTCAAAATGCTGCCTTTTTGATCTTGTGTGCTTAATTGTTCTAATGAGTGTATTCCTTCCTGTTATTGTTTACCTTATAGGCCTGTCTGTCATTTGGCTGAAAGTTGAGCTATGGGGTTGTGTTTAGTTCCTGGCTTGAAGGGTGTCTAAGGACTATAGCATTGTCTTATTTTTATTTAAAATGGGAGTCCAGAGACTTTGCAGCACATCAAGGGTGGCATAGGCAGTTAGTGGCAAAGGAAGGTGTAGAAATGCAGTTATTCTCACACAAGTCCTATTTTCCCCACCCTCATGTGCCCTCCTCCTAGTCTGGCAAGGCTGATGAAAATTCTTCCACTGATGGCTGACTGCATGTATTATGTATGTATATTTATCTGTGTCTTTGGGGAGTTACCTGTGTGTGTGTGTTTTTTTTTTTTTAATCATACTACAGTGTGAAATTTTACAATTATAAAATGATAATCAGTTGAGTTTTACAGTCTGTTTTTTCTTTTTTCCTCCTTAGAGGCAACCAGTAATAAGTTTCTTTTAGATCTTCTGTATATTCTTTTTTCTTAAATTTTTAATTTATTATTTATTTTGATTTGGGAAAGTTTACAGAGCAAATTCATTTTCCATACAGCAGTTCACATACACTTTGTC